TTGTCTGAGATAGTTGCAATCTCACCAATCATCTCAGGTATCTGTACATGAACTTGTACATGAACCTCCGGATAGTCACCCATGTAAACCCCGGATTTTGTTAAATCCCTCGGGCTGTTCATCATTGGGAGCAGTACCATTGTTAGATGATTTTAGTAGCAACATGTAGCAACTGACCTCACTATTTGGAGGTTTCCTAAGTCATAGTGGTATCCACAAATCATCCAAATAATCCAAATCATGACTTACTATTGAAACTATCACAGTGACTTGGGGATCATGGCTTAAAGCCATAGAAATCCCTTGAAAAATCATCATTAAGTCACCATGTTTGTTGGTTTCATCAGTTTAACCCCTTTTTTTCAATCACCATGAAACCACCATTTTTTCCATCAGCTGGGCCAAGTTTCAAGGCTTCCAACTTGGCCATCTCTGAGATGATGAATTGGAATGCTGGAAGGACCTGGCGCCCCCACGGCCCAACGGCCCAGCCTCTGCCCGGGAACCGCAGGGAACCGCGCCGGGAACCGGCTTCGGGTCGGAAAATTTTGGGGGGTGACGTGAACATCATGGATGGGTAAGAATGGTTAACTGTTGTTATTAATGGTTAACCATTAATGGTGAAGAATGGTTAGTAATGGTGAAGAATGGTTAGTAATGGTTAATAATGGTTTATGATGGCTAATGATGGTAATTGTTGGTTCATATAATCGCCAACAAGAACAGGGTTCAATTATGTTATGGTTAATCGTGGTTCCAACATGGATAAATAGGGTTTTTTTACCGTTGAGACTGGCATAGATTTGCAGGGCGTATCCAAAAATCAAGGGCAAACGGCCTCCCGCCTCCTGATTCACCGGCGTGGTGGCTGGACCAAAGGTCCAAAGACCTGGCCGGGAATTCCTGGAACATCTCCGGTGAATATAGTCGCTAGCAATGTTATATACATATCTATGTATATCTATGTATATCTATGTATATCTATGTATATCTATGTATATCTATGTATATCTATGTATATCTATGTATATCTATGTATATCTATGTATATCTATGTATATCTATGTATATCTATGTATGTA